CGATGCAAAATGGCTCCCACAACAATTGTTTCAAATTCTGCGCAAAACGTTCTAAACGGTGAATGAAGTTCGCAATTTTAACGGCATTTAGAGCGCACTCTTCTTTACTGCACGCACAACACTGAACTTGCAGAGATTTTTTCGTTTCTAAGAAATTTATTTTTGAAAAACCCGACACAAAATGACTCCCGCAACAATTGCTTCAAATTCTGCGCAAAATGTTATAAACGATGAGTGAAGTTCGCAATTTTAACGGCATTTAGAGCGCACTCTTCTTTACTGCAGGCACAACACTGAATTTGCAGAGATTTTTTCGTTTCTGAGAAATTTATTTTTGAAAAACCCGATGCAAAATGACTCCCGCAACAATTGCTTCAAATTCTGCGCAAAATGTTCTGAACGATGAGTGAAGTTCGGAATTTTAACGGCATTTAGAACGCACTCTTCTTTACTGCACGCACAACACTAAACTTGCAGATATTTTTTCGTTTTTCAGAAATTCGTTTTTGAAAAAACGGATGCAAAATGTGTCCGCAACAATTGTTTCAAATTCTGCACAAAATGTTCTAAACGATGAGTGAAGTTCGCAATTTTAACGGCATTTAAAACGCACTCTCATTTACTGCACGCACAACATTAAACTTGCAGAGATTTTTTCGTTTCTGAGAAATTTATTTTTGAGAAAACCGATGCAAAATGTGTCCCGCAACAATTGTTTCAAATTCTGCGCAAAATGTTATAAACGATGAGTGAAGTTCGCAATTTTAACGGCATTTAGAGCGCACTCTTCTTTACTGCACGCACAACACTGAACTTGTAGACTATTTTCCGTTCCTGATTTTTTCGTTGCAACTCATCGCTGTGCCGCACTTTGAGTTACGCTTCGCATTCAACCCGGGGCGGATTAGAACTTTACGAGGCCCGCGGCAGGAATAATCATAGATTAACTAAGTATATGGGAATATTAACACCTAACCAAAAAAATGTCACTCCATTTTTGAGCAGCAACGCTGTACCAACTGGGTGAGTGCAACGCAACTGCACCGGTGAGTTACTGTGCCGGCGAGTGTGTTGGCGCACCAAGTCATGCATCGCTGCGCCTTCAGACCTTCAGACTGATAAAAGACACCGTGTATGCGTATAACAAGGAATTACTTAATTAACCTGTCGGGGCATTAAAAGAATTTTATAGTTTCAGAGTGGTTTACTGCGAGAGAAATCACCTAGGAAGGTTAAGTACGAAATGGCCAACTCATTAACACCCTTGATTCGCGCTAGAGCGATAAGTTTCAGGTTTTGGGGTCGAGGCGCCTCAATAACTAACACTAAACCCAATCCATTGAAACAAAAGCGTTCCATAGGTTTAAAAAGCCTTTCGTTTTAAATTAGGAGCCCGTTCCAGTTCGGACCTCTTGCGCCTCGCCAAGAATGTGTGTTATTTCGTTAGTTATTGTGTCGAGTGTTATTGCTTTTTTGAGCCTCTCGTGATTCATGGCCCGTTAGGCATTAGGAAAACACTCGGAACATCACATGTTTTATCGTCAATTTATCGCCTAATCGGCATTTTCATAGAATAAATCCTCGGATTTCGGATAGTTTACTACCCGGAAATAAGTCCGGTTGAGTTAAGGTTTCAAACTACCAATAATGAATTGTGCCATGAAATCTGTGAAGAGCCAAAAAATCGTTCTAAAGTTTCTAAGAAAAGGAAATTCTTTGAAGATCAATGTGGTGGCCAGGGTGTTTCAATACAACATTTCCGCTCGTCCAAAAGTTGAGATAAATATAGTTAATTTCTCGTTAAAATTGCAGGAATTTGCAGTGGGAGACTCGTCGTTAAAGAACGTTTTTTTCAACAATCTTTACCAATCTTTACAATTGCAATTCGGGCCAGTAGATTTTCTAGGGGCGATTTCTTAAAAAGTGACCCAATAGAACCAAAAGCGTTTGCTGTGAAGAAAGAAAACCTCATCGAAAGAGACGGTTATTTAAATGTAAATCCTTTCCCGATCGAAATCTTTTACTATAAATGTGTCTGCGACACCTACTCGGCATTTTCTCGTGTGCACAAAATGGCAATAATAAAATTTTATCGATACATAAATTTCAATAAGCTTTTAGAAGTTAGAAGACATTTAGATTGATATGTTTCGTTTGCAGTAAATGTCAGCCGAATGGAGCACATGTTTGATATAAAGGTTTTAAGCCACCGAAATATTCCCTGGATGCTCGGATTCGGTATTTTCGAACGCTTTTTATATGAGCACTGTTTATGTTCCCTAACAAACACATCCAATGGTGCCATAAGGTTAAGCCGGTGAGGAAAACGTTTCACCCAGCAGGAATGTGCAATTACTGAGCTCTGGAAAAATTGGCAAGTAGGAAGCTTTCTTCGAACGTTTTGGCATAAGACAGGCCAGGAACAGGTCAACGAAACGAATATCGTCGAATAATTCACAGTGTTTATGGGCGGCAGAGGCTTAATGGCAAAGAAATGTTTACGGCCAGAAACATTTACGAGAACCACTATATCTACGATTGGATTTCGTAGACGATCGACATTGTTTCATTCATGCGGCAGGGCTAATTGCCAACATTTCGTCGTCACCACATAAATAGCGTTATTACTTTTCAGTTATTTAAAGCGTGTTTTACACCTGTAATGATTTAATCAATTTGCTGTCGAAAGGAAACTGAAATATCCTTAAATTTAAAATAATTTGTAATTTTTTCCATTACGGCACAAAAGACCTGAAAACCGACCATTTTCTGCTAATTATCGCAAAAGCATAACCCTTTTGACAAAAATGTCCAACTTGTATCAGAAATACTCCATTGAAAGCTTCTGCTGATGCGAGTTGAAAATATGTAGAGTTAAGACAGGAGGTGAAAAAACAATTTAAATAAATTGTAGATAAGTTCTATATTGTTGAGGCGGATTCATTTTTTTACAAACTTCTTGTTGGGTATTTCTCTACATATTTTCAACTCGCATCAGCAGAAGCTCTCAATGGAGTATTTTTGATACAAGTTCGACATTTTTGTCAAAAGGGTTATGCTTTCGCGATAATTAGCAGAAAGTGGTCGATTTTTAGACCATTAGGACAGACATTTTTGAGGCGAAATACCCAACAAGAAGTTTGTAAAAATTTTTCAATAAAGTTTAAAAACAAAAACAAACACTGGAACTATTAACAACAATTATCCCTAGCAATTAAATCGTCGCGTTCGAATCGCACGCAGATGTTTAAACATAAATCAGTTCAATTCTCAGTTAAGTATCAATTACTCATCACTAGGGCAATAACTCGCTGTAATAACTGAGTGTATTATGAATGAAATAGATTAAGCGGACATGGTCAATTAATCAGTAATGGTAGGCGAGCTGTGCGTATTATGTTACAACCTGGTATATTATTATATAAATTGTATGTTAAGGCAACTGGCATCTCAAAAAAAAAATACTGATGAGTGACCGTGAGTCAGCAAAGAAACATTGACAAAAAAATGCAAAACTGCATTTTTTATTTAGTTCAACATTAAACTACGAAATATTTCAACTTTCAATATAAAACGAAAATGATATCCATGGCGCAAATAAACCGGCCCCTAATGGGATTTCACCAACAAACAGATTTGGTTACTGGGGAAACACGCCTGCTTGCGTACTCTCATTGGGCCAAAGTGTGATCGCATGATGCGAAAATCGTCCCAGACTATTTGCACCACAGATTTAAAATGTAGAATAGAGTTTGATCTCAAATTTTGAGCCAAATGTACTTAATAATTGAATTGATAATATATGGTTTATATCAGATGGGCGTGAAGCATTGAATTCGGTGTCGATGTCAAACAGCTCACCCACATTGAGCCTTAAATTGTTTTGTAAGTAAAAACCATCCACAAGATTAACATTGTCTTGGGAACAATTATTATGACCGCTTTATCGGCTGTTTCTAAGCCAAGCACGTATTTGCTAAGGTTGCTAAACGATTGAAATATTATTCTCTTGGGAGATAATCATATTTATTATAAACGGGACATAGAAAGTTTAAGATTTTCTGCCACCTGGGTACGTGTTAGGAATATCTATTTCGTTACTTTAAATCTGTTTTTGTCACAAGTCAAAAAATTCTTGTAGATGCGGTGGATTCTGGCTAATGAGCTACAATATGCAAAAAAATATTTGACATTCATAATAATTAGTGATAGATGTTTTTTTGCTTTTTGAGTTGATCGCTCAAAAGCAGCTCAATGGCAGATCAACCCAAAAACAGAAAGCAACATCACTAATTATCATCACGGTCACCAAGAAACTTCAACATTAGTTTATAATAATTATCTGGATAAGACACTAAAATATGACCTCAGAAAGGCAAAAAAAACCCCAGAGTTGCTCTGGCACTGAAGAATTAGCTCATTTTAATTAATTTTTGCTGCAGTTCTCAACGATGCTAATGGTGCGATACGAACAAACTTTGCACTTAATCGTTTTCGCTTGGTTTCGACGAATACCGAAAATTTGTAAACTCCGAAAGTTTTCAATATGAAGCAACAGAAAAGGAGCTTGCTTTCGGTGCGAAAGGAATTTTGATTAGCGCCAAAACTGTACACAATTAACTTATTTAAAAGTTAATACCCATAATGGAAATGGAACCAGCACATACACGTATTTCAAAGAATAAGCCTGACACTGACATACTTCGGCATTCCCAAACAGCATGTGAACATCAATGGGAGTTGAAGAGGGCTTTGAATAAATTAATGAGTTTACGGCATCGGAAAGGAACAATGTGGCTAAAAGTGAAATTTTTGCAATTTTTCGCTCGCAATTTTAGCCGAAACTAGCCAACATTCCTGAGCGTACAGGTAGCGGTAAAACAAAAATCAGTGCAAACCACCAAAAGCCAAAGAGGTTGGAAAAAGGTAAAAAGTTCAAAAGTTACATACATTTCTTTCGGCCAGTTGCGGCACGCATTTTGCCGGTATCACATGAAATATCCAAAAGTATGCAAAATTTTCGCGAAAGGCATGTTGAAAGCGACGACGAGCGTCGCATAATTGTGGGAAAACGACGTCGACGGACACTCGATCGCGAAGCAATTCTTCGGCAACGAGCGACGCGCCACGACGCGCGTCTTTAGAGGTTGAGGTGCGACTAACGGCCGCGCCACATTCGTGGTGCCTTTTGCCCGACCGGTTTCAATGTAGAAAATATCTGCGAAATTTTTCTACCTCTTTCTTTCTTCGTTATTTCGGCAATATTTAACTCAGGAGGAACATTCAGATTTCAGGCCGACCAACAACCTACAGTTGACCTAAAGTTCAGACCGGGACACATTTGTGCGGGTACCCACTCTATAGCTTCTTTTCCTTGAGCGACTCTTTATGACTGTTAAACGTCGTTTTCGGGCTTAGTTCGATCTAATTAACGAATATTTATCGATTTAATCTTTCAAACTATATGTAGTTGGTGCAAATCAACTTGCCCGACGTTCCTTTTTGCTGTCGAACCCACCTAGTTTCCATAGATACGCGTTGCTAAATATGACGCTATTGGTGCTCATTAAGTAAATGACTCGTTCACACCATCCGCACCAGTGGTAATCGCATTAAAAATAATATTTTAATATGCATAACAAATGAGTGACACGTACATTATTTTTACAAAATTTTCAAATTGATGCGAATGAGCAGAGGATGAGTTAAGGGGCAAACAATCGTCGAAATAATACTACTTTTTTGACGTAAAAAAAATAAATCTTCAAGTGAGATTAACAATTACACTTTTCTAAGAAAATTGTAAGCTTTTAATGAATCACTATCGTTGGCCTTTTGAAACAGCTTTCGGATACTTGATGTTTTCAGCTCAATAGGCCATCTATTGGGGGGAAAGAAAATGTAGTCGATTGCTTATAAAAGAACTCGTAAACAGGAAAAATGGCAACTTCAGTAGAATAGAACCCGCCCATAGATGGCAGACCAACAATGTGCTACATAGATTCTGGACCGAATTGGCGAATGATACGGTTAAACTGCAGAGGACGATCCAAACACGGATTTAAATTTTTATTAAAATGTGTCATGCTTGTATTGATCATTTTTGATATAAACTGGTTTTGTATACCCATATTGAAGCCAAATGATGTTTTATTATTAAAGTATTGCGTTCCCACGTCATCTGTAGTATACATAAAATCGTAAAGTCGAAGTTACTCCACTGCTTGCAGTTGAAAAAAGCCTTCGACTTTCGTCTCGCCTACCGTATTCCATTTTTCTTGGTCCTCGCAGAAAACTATAGTTATAGTTATAACCGGGAAAAGTATAAGATTTTGAAAAAGGCTTTGCAAATGTTGTCAAAACAGTCAGCTGTCAGTCAGTGACAGTGAAGCTGTCAGCGTGCGTGTCGAAAGTTGTTACTTTCCACACGGGATGAAGACAATTTTGAATGGGTAAAGGTGATGCTTTCGCTATCGAAAACAGTGGCAAAAGTGAGTAATTTCTTAGGGTCTAAGGAAAATAATACATTGGACGAAATGGCGGTTGCGCAACCAAATACTTTGAACAAATATTAATCCATGGTTATTGTTAACATCAAATAACCCCTATAATTTGCCCAACTTTAAAACTGACACTCATAAAAAATTGATCGTCTAGAAATAAGCAACCTCATGAATAACTGATGAATACTAGTGGGTAGCTAGAGGTTTGTGAAAATTTATGTCATTGGAAACTTTTAAATAATCGATTTTCCACTGAAACGCGCGATATGCAGGTAAAGTATGGCGCTTTCAAAATTCCATATTCACTTTATGGGTCCTGCGGAAGCCGTTTCTAAGAAAGAGGCATTGAATAAAATGCATACATTTTTGGATCTTCCGGGTTTTAACGAGAAAGTGCAGGGAAACTGGATATGTTTTACTGCTTTAAATTTGAATTTATCACAGACAACCTGCTGCATAATTATCATAAATGTGGATCGTTCGATCATAGCAACTCTGATGATTTTACTGCATAACTTTTTGAATCTGTATTTCTACCATTTTGTCGAAATTCATATATATTTCAATAGAAAATGAGGCATTATTAATTCAATGATTATTGCAATGTCCATGGCTTTTTGGCTGTTTGCCTTTCGAACAAAAACTCTTTGTTTCAATAATGTTCCAGTTGCTGTTTATTTGGCCGGTTTATTTTTATTGCTCAAAGTAATTGATACACTTTACAAATAAATAATTTGCGGCTTGTTTGTGTTTAATAAAACGTATAAAGCACCCGCTGAATAAATTTCTATTTTAAAATATTTACACGCAATTGTTGTTATATAATTAACTATGTGGATTTAATAGCATGCAACAATTTAAAATGTATGCCACTCGTATGTATTTGCATGTGAATACAGATAAATTTATTAGGAACAGCATAAAACATTTCAATGTATCTTGTGCTACTGATATTTGCTCATCAGGTTTTTATATAAAAAAGAGTGACAAAATAGACCCAGACAACAAAATTATATAAAATGGATTCGTTTAGTTCGTTAATTTGCGGAAGTTTTCAGTTAAGTGAAAGTTGCGGCATTGCTAATAAAAGTCCGCTTAATGAAGATTCTAATTTTTCTGCTTCCGGACTGTGCTTAATTCTGTTCGCTTGCTCAACGCAGCAACCACCTCTGAAGATGCAAGCCACTGGTGCTTGCAAAATGCTAGAAAAACTAATTTTTTCCCGCGACAAACTGAAAGCCCGAAAAACTCACCAGTTTCAATTCTGAATGATTATTTTTGAATGATCATCATTTTCCTGAATGATCCACTTTATGCACCAAATGAGTGTCAAACTCCGATCGGCCAAAAAAATTCCAGGCACGAAAAAATCTGCGACAAACGAACGGAAAACGCAGATCATTTTTTGCTACTGTCGGTTGTTGCTTGATTAGATTCTATTCCGGATAAATTGCTGAAGAAAAATCGCAGAAAATTGTTTTCAGTGTTCTCTTATGGTGGCTTGAGCGAGTCGTTGCAATTATTGCTGAAATTTGTTCGAGTATTTTAAGATCAGTTATAAAAAAGTTGTTTCAGCGTCAGTTTGCTGCTGAATTTTTTTAACCTCTTAAAATAAGAGCGGGGAAAACGCAAAAACCCGCGTTTTTTCCACACCTGTGTTTCATTAGAGCCAGTTCAACAAATACAGTAAAGACCGCTTATAATGAACCCGGTTATAGTGAACTTCCGGTTAAAACAAACTTTTTTTCCTTTAATTGAAACGTCGTCCATAAAGATCAACGTATTTTTTTACTGGTTATAACGAACTTCCGGATATAACGATCACTTTTTAGGTTAGTTGTATATTCACTTTCCGTTTATAACGAACTTCCACGCTCAGCAACA